TACAGCAATGCTCCTAGGACTCTAAATAAAATCATAGCTCTGCTAAGCTAGATTTTCTACAAAAATAATGAAGGATGTGCGATGGGGTGGAGGAAGTATTATTATCCTCATTTTATAGTTTGAGGCCAGAAACGAAAAGAGATGCCAGACTTTTCACCTCTTGAATTGCCTGTTTCCTCACTGATATAGAAAAGGAAGGGAAGTAGAGGAGACATGGCTAATTCTGACCCTTATCTAACAGCTCTCTACTATCATGTTCCATCAGGTACCCATTCACCATCATACACTGAGCTCAGGGAAGACTGTTACTCACACTAGGAGACATTTCTCGTGTAAACTTTCCCACCCAGGCCTAATGTTGTGTTTATTAAATCATTAGCTGTGTTAAATAATACACAAACAACTGCCTCTTGAGGCTCCACTGGAGCTTGAAGGTGAAAGGTGTTTGGTACAACAGGACAACACCAGCGGGACAGCAGATAGTGCCACCACCCGTATCATTCTCAGGCCAGTATTTGTGGCACTTCTGAGAGGCATGGGTGTGGAATCACCTCAGTTTGAGATGACTGATGAAACCAGGCTTCCCAGTTCTTTGCAGGATACTCAAAATGATCAGCCCTTAAATGAAAAGGGAATGAAATCAACTACATGCTCTCAGGACATGTTTTCAAATAAAAGCAGTCCTGCCTGCTTCATCTGGAGTACAGCAAACCAGTGTGAGTATATGGTAGCTGCAAACCAGACCAGGGGGGACTGCAAGCAAGATTCAGCTTGCATGAACCAGGCTCCATTCTGAAAATACAGAAAGCCCAGAAGTAGAATTTCAGTTATTAGAATTCAGATTTCAGGGAAGTGTCTCTATTTACAGATTTCCTGGCACCTAAAGTGAGGGAGGGCTGAGAATCACACTTGTAAGTATAGACAGCAAAATTTCTGCTCTGCATGCCTAGATCCTCATGAAGATGTGAGTCTGTATATTTTTCTGTGGCTTCACTGTAGAAAGCAAAGATTTTATCCTACAGTGTTGATTTTGTGGTGATTTGAAGTGAGGGAATTAAAATTTTGCAGTGCCTGAATACTGATTTACTACTTGGTAGTCCTATGGATTGGTTTTGTATTTCACAACTGCTGGTTCCCCTGACAATTTGGGATTTATCTTTCTATTCATTTTCATTTCAAACCACATAAGAAAAGATGTTATTGACTACTTTCTATTCAGTGACAAATGCATTCTGACTGTTGCTAAAAAACTGATGCACTTGATAGCACACGGGGATTTAAATACTGTCAACTGTAAAGGGTAATTCTGCAGACTAACACACTGTTCCTAGCAATGCTTAGGCCTAATTGCTAGAGACTGGCTGAAGTCACAAGCTTCACTTCCAGATTTTTAATATAGCAACTTTGAACAATATCGGAATCCAGGTTTTGAGCCAGCGATTATTTAAAAACATAAAACCACACCCACCCACCCCCAAAAAACACATCTAAAGAAAAAAAGGACAATACAGAGCAGCTTTCAAGTTTTTTAATTCCTTCATATCTAGGGCATTTGAAGACATTACTAAAGCCTCTCTAAATACATAGAGTAGATAAACTTCACTGCAACGTAGATCTGATTAAAAAGTCATTGCATTTGGTTTTATGGAAAGGAAGTCATCCTAAATGTTTAATGTATAGAATAAAAAGATGCAAAAATAGAAAGGCAGAAATAAAAGCATACAATATTTAGAAGAGCTAAGAAGAAATTAACAAGGAAGAGAGAGCAACCAGGGAAGTGGGACAGAAGGACAGAAAAGGGACACCACAGAAGTAAAACAAGGCAACAGGAGAAAAGAGACACAGTTGACAGCAAGAAAGAAAATGTTAAGAAAATATTTTTCTGACCATTGATTAAATTTTCTCGCAGAAATGCAAAAACTGAGAAGGTTTAAAAGGAAAAGATGTTTATATAAATATTAACAATAGAGTATTTCTTAGAGGCCTTCATAGTAATTTTAAAGTTTGCAAATTCTAGTGCTGGTAGCATTAGATCTATCAGGTCTTTTGAGGAAGTCAGGGATGTAAACTTGAAGTACATATCTGTGCTTAATTTCAGTGGTCTTGACTGTCTCAATATAATTTGTTATGCTTTGTTTTTTCAACATTTGCAATTTAAAAATAGCATTCTAGTTCACGTAAAGTATATCAGAATTAATTATAGCAGACTGTGATTTTCAGTGCTAGGTGCCTGATGTTAGGCTCCCAAGCCTATGTTTGGATATGAAATAATTAGTCTCAATTTCATAACTGACTGAACTGAGTCAGCTTAGTGCATACTTAATAAAACTGCTAATGTTCAAATTATTACAAAAATATATTGCTATTTTAATGCATTAAAAAACTCTCCCACAGAATGCAAAGAATGATCTGGTCCTTTTCCCGAGGGACTTAAAATCAATAGGTAAGGTTGTGCTATCCAGCCTGATTTCCAGTAGCAAGGTAGTATTCCATGAGAAAAACAGCGACGGCATCTGACCCTATGTTTTAAACAACAGTAGAGATCAGACCAAAGGAAATCATCAGCTGTGGCTCTGTAGCATAGAAGCCTTCTTTTCTTTTTCACATGTGAAAAATCTAAGACAGAAGTGTTATTTCATTAGGTATTTTTTACCGTGTTTTTCTGGCTTTGAATGCAATACTCCTGGTAAGATTTCATGTGAGTATCTTCATATGTGTCGTATTACAATAATCTATTGTCTGCAGAACACACGAGGCAAAACAGCTAGCCACTCTAAGGGTTAGAAATTATACATGCAATGAAGCTTAAGCGTACCACAAAGTCTGCAAGACTCTGTAAATCCAGATTTTTTTCTGTGCCAGTGGATTCATGTTGTCAATGTGATTAGTTAGTAGATATATCGCTGTTACTGAAACAATATTACAGCTAGAAACTCTAGTTCCTATTGGCCCCATTGCCAACCCTCTTTCACATGTGCTATTACAGTCCTTTTAGTCCTGGGTGAAATGTTTTCTGTTGTCTTAGCTCATTCTATAATAAACGCATCACAACTCCAACACACACAATCAGTCAGAACTGGCAGTTTCTCAACTCCAGTAAGTTCAGAACTGCATGCAGGCTAAATTGCTTCTGTCCCAGGAGACTGATTCTTTGAGGTCAAGTCAAGCTCATTAAAGAGAAGAGAGTACAGGGATGTTTGTGCTGCAGCCTTTCAGCTGCACCTGTCATGCATAAATGCTTTGAATTTTTTTATTTTCAGAACTGTGCAGACCCTTAACTATTGTACTGCTGGTACATTGCTGTATTGGCCAAGGAGCTTTGTCAGTGAACACAGCTAGTGAACAAGCACAGGCTAATAAACAGGGCACGTGCCTACATTTAAGAGACTGGGACTCTCTTTCCAATTCTGACCTGGTTTAGGAGTTTGGGACCACTGCACCTGCATTTGTTGCCGTTGTTTCAGCTGTCACATCCCCCTGTAGTTACGCTGTACACTCTGCAGTGCAGGGCTGTCTCACATTGCTTAGTTGTACAATGCCAAGCACAGATAGGGCCCTAGACACCACTGTTCTGTACATGACAATAACAAATCCAATGTCAGACAGATGGTTAAACCTCCATGTAACATTTCTTTTTCTTTCCCCATGCAAATATTTCCATTTTAATGAAATGGAAAACACCTAACTTGCTTTACTTTAAACTAATGAATAGGTTAGTGTCATCAGAAGCTTTTCCCAGCAATTTAAAGAACAACAGGACAGAAAAAAAGGAAAAAGAAACAGCTATTCATTCTGCCTCCTTGTTGAGTCAGCACCAGGATCATTATTTTTAATAAAAAGATAGAAATACTTATGCCTGAAGGGCTCAGATTTGCTGAAGCTCAAGAACTATGACAGAAACAAACGTCTTTTTTCTCTTCCATTCAGTATTTACATACAAAAAGCATCTACTTTGCATATAATTCCTGTCATTGTCTCTGACTGAATAAAAGTCTGTGCATAATATTTACAGGAAAGAATGCTGAGGTATGTAATTGTTAACATTAAATATTATTTTAAAATTTATTTTGATGTTTCATTACCAAAAGCCAAAAAATATTCAAGAAGGAAGGCTTATCAAAAAACAGTAAAGTAGCCTTAAAGGAGCATATAGTGAAATAGTACATTTTATTTGCATCAGTAAATTCTGTATTTGTATTAGCTTGGTGAACCTGATACTCTGTGGGAGCTGATGAGGCATTTGTGGGCTGTTGGTCACCTTAGCTGTGGGCTTCAGATTCCGGTGATAAGAAGGTTTGTTATTCATCATATCTCACTGCTCTGCTTCCTTTCTTGGTGTGAACATCAGCACAAGCCTCTGTCATTCAACTCATAACATTTCTCAGTTGCATTTCCTCCTCAGTTCTGAGTACTGGTCATATTCGATTCTTCCACCACATCGCTTTTAACAGCTAATTTTATTTCTTTCCTATCCATATTAGTAAAATGCCACTCAGGTTCTCATCATCTTGCACATCACCCACTGCAATCTCCTCTCCCTTCTGGTTTGCTTCCCTGTACCTTGTGCACCAAGTAAAGACCTTTCAAAATGCTACAAGCTACCAATAATGCAGCACAGAACCACCGGAGTCCTGCAGTCCTATCCCCCCACATACCTCTCTAACTCCAGTTCCTCCTCAACACCTCTCTTCTGCCAGTAATTAAGGATTTCATAGCACAGATTAATGACTTAATTGTCTCTCCCCAGATATGGATCAGAGCCAGGGTAAAGAACTAATCTCAGGTGCTACAAGTAGCAGTTAAAAGAATCTCAAATTTCCTAAAAATTTATTAGGAACTTCCTGGATTAAAAAATTGATCCTAATGTTTTGCCAGCTCTTCTCTGCATTTCTCACCTTATAGGAAATGAGTGGCACAAGATAAACATTTCTACCCTCAAAGCTTTCTAATATGCATCAGACCATTACCAAATGTCTTTGGGTTTGGATTTTCTTTAACAGAGTTGGCGTAGATCCAGATGAAGATCTGAAAGCAGAAGCTGCAACCCAGGTACGTCAGGATTTTAGATGTACACACTGAATTAAAAACGCTTCAGTTGTTGGCAGATCATGTTTGTCAAAAGATAGCGTTACAGCTGAAAATGTTTCAAACAGGCAGGTTGAAAATAAAAAGGAGCTGCAAAGTATCTCTATTGCGCATGGTACAAAGAGAGATGTATATATTTTTCAATGTGCATGCACTCATGAAAATTTTGTAACTAAAAATGTTAGAGTGTTGAAGAAAATTATAAATAAATGCAAAGATATCCCGAGAAGTCTAATAAACAAAATAATAGAAGTATTGCTTTGATAAATCCAAATATTTATCGCCTTCCAAATGCTGCATTTATGGAAACGAGACATCTCAGAAAAATGTTTAATTCACTGGAATGGAAAAGGAGAACATGTATCGTTCAATTCTAGTAGGTCAGGTTTCTGAAAATATTTTTCAGTTATTTTTCACATGGATACCTAAGTGCATAGTGAATTTGAAAATTTTAAACCAAAGGAAGCTATTTAACAAGCTGCAGCTTGTTCATCTGTCACCCTCCCTTATTTGTCATACATGTATGGCGTTGTCTCAAATGCAGCACTGCCTGCAACAACAACAGAAGTCTATAATAGAGTCTCAATACACAGAGACGTAACGTGCTTCAACAGCAGTAAGACTAGGGAGAAGCAACGCTACAGTTGACAAGTTGCCAAAGCAAAAAGCGAAAAAATGCCTAAGACTAACTGTGTTCCTGTTCCTGAGTAATACAGTCCCGTGAGCTCTTTCAGACGGCACAACTGGAACTGAAATCAAAGTCACTCAACAGTGATATAAATTTAAGTTAGGGCAAGACATGAATAAACATTGAAATTACATGAAGGATATCATAAGGCAGAATTTTAATATATCTTACGTACTGAGTATTCTTAACATTTACATATTTGCACATATCTGAAGGCATTTAGGGTCTCAACTTTCATTGAAACTGAATGGAATACAGGTGCCTAATGACCCTAATGTTTCTTTGAAACAAAGGAAAAATAATATTATCCATATCTGACCATATCCTTAGTTTTATAACTCTGTCACTACTAAAAGGGCTAGCATAGCCAAGATTCTGATTTATTCCGAGTCTGAGGGGACTAATCACTAATATCACTGTCCTAAGCATCTTGGTAGGAATTCTTGCAATGCCTCTGTCCAAATTCTGACCAAGGTCAGGACACAGAACCTTAATCTTAGTCTATTCTTGACAGGATTTTAAAGATATACCGTTTCAGCAGTTTTCTACTTTGCAGCACTCATCAATTATCAAAGATCAGAGAATCCTGAATGCAATATAAAATTGACTGAATGCATGTTTAGTGAAAACCCGATTTCTTCAGAAGTCAATAGGCATCTAATTTTCTCCTTTTATTGAAAATGAAAATAATCATGTTTATGACTAACAATAACACATTCAGTGTCCCAACTGTGTCCTGTGAATTAACACCTATCTCTGTCGACAAAACTCAACAATACAACTCAGAAGGTGTAAATAAATATAACACCTTTCATGCCCTATCATGTCCAAGTCACAATTCCTTCTAGTAGTAAATTTTACCTTGGAAGATAGTTTTGCTGCTCTGATTATTCTTTCCTCCCTATGTGGTATTCTATTTTCATGTCTGACTTTTCTGTATTTGACATCTCAGTCTTTTACTAATTCAGCCTTCTGTTGCAATCTCTGTAGCCCTCCTTGATTTGACTCAGTATCTATCACAGTTATTCAATTTATGACAGGTTATTTGTTTTAATTTTCTCTTTTATCTCATATCTCTCTCATTCCTCTCCTTCTCCTTTGTTGTCTTTTTTCTTTCCCTTCATTTCTAATATGTTTTTATCTAGTTCACCTACTTTCATTTCTTCCCATGTTAGCGTGTCTTCACAGTGAAAGTAGTTGCTTTTCTTGTCTATATCTCTGGACAAATAACGTATCACGTGCCAGTATCTCCCACTGCCAGTTAAAGCTCTTGCCCAGATGAACTTTAAACTGATAACTGTCCGTGCCATTAATTGGAGCTTCAAGGGAATTGTACCAGAAATAAGAACTGAATACCTTCTCAAGAATAAGATGTTTAAAAGACATCAAAATTAGTGGAAAGTAAGCCTCCAGGTTCCTCCCTTTTCAGCCAGATACTCAGCCAGGATGGGGAAGCCCCAAGGTCTGCTGTGGAAATTTGAGTCTCTCCTCTGTGACCACTCTAACTACCAGGACACAGGGTATCTTGCTGTGGGAACCTCTCAATCCATATCTGCAATCAGACCTGGATTTTTTAGGGGCAGAAAAAGCCTTAAACGCCTTCCTCCTCATGAGTACTATGTCAGAGGGAATAGCAGCTATATGGCTACATAACCCTTTTCCTTTCCTTCCTCTTCATCTTGATCTCCCTTGTTTCCTTCATTTCCACAACTTCAATTTTCTCTTCTCTGAAGGAATTTGATTTATTTAGTCAAGACTTCCATGTACATGGTTGTTTCTGGACTTCTGATTATGCTTATTGCTCTATTCTGGACTGGCTCAACCAGTGATTTTGGCACTCAGCTAGCAGCAAATTCCAGTTCAAGTTATAAGACCTGGAACCCAAGGCTCCTTCCCTAACAAAAGGTGTAGAGCTTTTTAATGTATAATTAGCATCTAGGCTTCACCATACCATGACCTCATACATCAGAAGCATCTCTCCGATCTTTTGTGTCCGTTCTGCCTTGCCTTTCCTTAAATGTGTTTATGATCAAATCATTATCACAGCATAACTATAAACAGAAGAAGCCTTATATTCATATCCATTTATTGATGGACTGTTATAACTCAGTTCTGAAAGAACTGAATTACATAATACATACTACAGATAATATATTATTGTGGAGAAAATAATATATAAAAAAATAAACAAAAGCAGTCTCCTGCGCATCACGTACAATCAGAGTATAAATGCCAAAGACTAACTCTGGTAAGGAGAATGCAGGATACATAACCACTAAGCAGAGTTACAAAGTCAATCTATTAAAAAAGGCAAAAGCTTTTATGGCAGGGGGCTTTTTAACTAATTTCCCATAAACAAAAGGTAGTCAATAGCATATTTTATTCAAACGGTTTATGTATCTCAAATTCAGCTATGTTAATCTCTGTCAAGACAGCATAAGAATATATTTTCTACAAGCATTTTGGAAAAGTGTTGTATTGTAGATGTAGTATTGATCTCAGGAGAAAACTAAATAGCTTGCAAAACACCTATCAATATAATCTCTGTCAAACTAATGTTCATAGTTTATTTAACCTTCCCTATATCTTTATTAGTATAATAAGGAAATTATTTATACTTTCCCCATCAGTTTCATCTGCTAGCTAGTTGGTGAATTTATTGCGAGTAATGAGAATAACCTCCATATGGGTAATTCCCAAGTAAGAGATGAGAAACATTGGCACTCCCACTTCCCAGAGAGAAAATTGTCCAGAAGAGGTGGAAAGTTACTTTTTAAGATCATAGGATCCAAGGATCTGCAGTAGCCCAAAAGCATTCCCACCATCTCATGCCATCCTTTGCCTGCACTGTTACGCAGGAGCTGCACTACCAATAACTACCCGGATTCCCACTAATGCAACAGCTGATAACACATTTCATACACAAAAGGAAGAAGGTGTAACACATGTTAAACTCACAGAGCTCAAAGCCAGAGGTTACAGGCCACTAGAGCAGGTAAAGACCAAAGTAGTAATAAACATTAGTGCAAGAAATAAAAGCAGGTCCAGGTCAGGACCAGCAAATTCCAGGAGAATTGTGCAGACCTTTTTGTCCACTGCTTTCATATGGGAACATGAATGCAAGAGGAAGCTAGATACACAATGAATTTGGAAGGAGGAATTAACTAACACTATGGCTTCTGGAGACATTAGTAGTCAAACCAAGGGCACACAGGCCATTTACAGAGCACTCTGTGCTTTTAACCAGCCCTCTTCTGCATTGCACTCACTGGCTGCTTACTGCAGCCCGCTCCACGATATGTCTATTTCCATGCCCGACTTCTCTTTCCTATCGCTATACCTGTGCACCCTAGTCCTTCACCCTCTTTCTTTCAGTGTTCTTGTTGTTCTAGCCAAACATAGACCTTACCTGCCATCACATTTGCTGCTTAAATATTTCAACCCTTTTCCCAATCTGTATCTATCTTGCCAAAATGCAGTAGTAGGGCTTAGAGTATCCTGCTGCTCGGTTAGGGATTAGTACCATTTTCTTCCCCCCCTCCAGCTTCCCCACTTCCTAGGGGGACTTGTTAAAACACTCAACTTAGTAACAAGGAAACAGATCCCAACAATAATATTTGACCTATTTGGTGCATTTGTAAGTTCACCATGACCCCCTTTGACACTAGCAAAATCTTAAAAGCTACAAAATGGTTTCTGTCTCCATGTAACTTTATTCAAAACTCAGTGAAATCAATATAAAAGTTCCCATATACAGGTTGGCTTGGAACTAGACCTTACAGTTTTGAGGATCAGACCATTGCCATTATTATCATCAGCCAACTTACATGTATGCTAATGTATAATAGGAAATTAAGTTTTTAATATATTATTAGATTAAAACATAAAAATTAAATTGGTTTAAAATTGCATAAAGAAAAATATTCCCATTAAAAAATAATCTAACTTGAAGCAAAACACAAACAAGACAATAATGAAGTATCCTTAAACAACTGGCGATCCCATTCCTAATTCCATCCTGCCGCTAATTCTTCCGCTGGTACTGATGTGATGCCTAGAGTACGACCAAACTAGCTGTCTTTGTATGGATGACTGTTTCTAATGTATTATTCCAAATTACAACCCTGAGCAAAAGGGCAGTCCATCTATCTACCTGTGCAGCATGCCCCAGAATTAGCTTGCAGAATAGAAAGCAGCATTTTAAGTCTTGTTGACTCAAGTCTTGTTCCTCTCCTCTCGGAAAAAAGCACAGAAAGGAAATCATTAGTCATAATTATTAGAATATCATGATCCCTTTGGGAATGACATTTTGCTAGACATACACAAATAGCATCTGATCTTATAGGAGTAAACTGAAGTATTCCCACAATGGCAATTAAATCGAAATATCATTTTATTGATCTCAGAATATAGTGCTTCTCAGCTGCTTAATAAAATTGGAATCGTTAATAAAAGTAAACCCTGCACTCTTCCAATGGGTAGACAGCAATGAGAAATGTGCTATATGAGCCAATTTGCTCCTGAACTGATTCACAGAGATGACATTTGTATGCCAAAGAAGCTTTTTAAATTAAAAAAAAAAAAAGGACAGTTAATTTTAATTTGTTTTGACATGTATTTTTAATATTGAAACTCCATGTTTTATTTATGTTATAAAAATGCTTTTCACTTTATTCTTTTGTTTATATTGCAGAGTGCATCTAACTTGGATAAAAATACAACCAAAGCAGAGAGTGCATGGCTGTTCAGAATGTGGTATGGCTTTGACCACAAGTATCCTTTTCTGTTATAAGTTATATAGTTCCATTACAGCTAGCATCTTCAAAGTATTTAATAATCCAAAAGTGATTATACTTTTAAAAACAAAAATGCTATTTATTTTAACATGTTCAGTAAGGAGAAGAAATTTTGGAAGTTCAAAGAAAGAGAAGATCAAGAGAAGCTGGGCAGTGCAGTGGTAGTACATTCCTAATTGAGGTTATGGGGAGTGAGAATGAGCTAAGAAGATCTGTCCTACAGCAGGATATAGACAATAGATTTAAATAAATTAACCTTTTTAAATTCCAGGATAAAACTAATCCAATTATTAATCAGATAGGGTATAAATTCTGTGTTTCAGAAACCAGGAGGTTGGAGACTGAAGCAGCCCAATTGCTGCTGCCTGCCTGCATATTCAGAAAGAGGTAGCTACCCAGGAGAACGTAAAAGACAGACAAGACTGGTTTATCCATGCCTCTTACAAACAGAGAAAGATGCACCTGTTGTTGAGGTGTAGCTTGCAGGACTTCCCTGGAACTCATATTTCTTATTCCCTGAATTCCTGAGCCTTTGTGTTTCTATTCACATTCCTACTGAGGCACTTATGGTAGAGATCTTGAAATATGGATGTCTGATGCTTTATTCTAGTAAATCTGGCTTCCATGTCTTTTGCATTTCAAGAAAACATTTCAAGTGATTTTTTAAAAATGTTCTTTAAAAGAGCATCCTCCCAAAGCCAAGGTAGAACATATGTTCTTTGACACCCGTGCTGTCACTAATGCCTGTGTAAAGATGGTAAAAGCTACTGTTCTAATTTATTGTCATTTTAAACTGACTCTGCAAAGGCTTTGCATAGCTATCAGTGAGATCCCACAATAACAATCATGCCTTAAACCTTTAACAGAGATATATGATGAATATAAGAGAAGCCTGTCTGCTAATTTCCATGCATACTGGCTCAGCAGCTGAACAGGCAAAGCTCCATTATTCAATAGCACATCTATTGGTCCATTACCCTGCACTACTGAGTAGAGATTAATGTTCAGACTCGATGTATGTTTTTCTGATACCAGATGCAGCAAACTAGGATGAAATATTTCAGCTGATAAAATGCAACTCTTTGGGAATACAGCTTTCTTAAAGAGTTCAAGGGAAGTTATCCTTCAAAGAGACTTTTGATGGAAAAAAACCATCTTTTTGGTTAAAAATGAATGTGTTGCCCTAATTCATCTACCAGAGCAGTTTTAAGGGCCAAAAAGCACTTAGCATTAAAATGTGTCCCTAGGATAATTCTTCAAGAATACTTAGATTAGTAGGTGAATGCTGTATAAAGGGGGAAAATATGTTTAAATGTTAATGCTGAGTACCAGCACAACTAGCTTTAACTACCACCCAGTCTCACTCCTTTTTCAGAAGGAATAGCCTGTGGTTGTGGTATATCTAAGAAACGGTAAGTCAGAAGGAACAGATAAATACGGGGAAAAAATTTACTCTAAAGAAAAAAAAAAAAAGAGGAAGCAAAAAAATGTGGAAGGCAAGAACAGGACAGAAGGATGAGAAAAAAAACATGAAAGACACAACAAGCATA